TAAATCTTGTGTGTTGAATACATATGCTTATGTGTGTGTGTTGACGGTGTTAGTAAATGACTTAGTAATAGATTTTATAAGCAAGCATGGCGCAATTTGCATTTTATTTGTTTGCACATGTCACCAAATTTATTGCGTTTTTTACTTTTACTTTTGCAATCTACTCCAGTATATTAAGGCAGCATTGAATGTAATATTTAAGTTACTTATATAATTTAGCTATAAGAGGTGTTGATGTATAAGAGAGCGTATTAGCGTATTAACCCGTGTTAACGTATATGAGAGCCATCCGTGGGATACAATAGGGCAGAATAACTACTGGAACTAACCAAAGCTTTCCTCAAATCTCAATAGGACTTCAAACCAGAAGAGCTTGTAAACTAAAAACTGATGCCTTTAATCTGACTACTTATAACTCGTCCTTTAAACTTGTAATCTTGTCTGTTTATGTTTTGTGAATACTTGTACTTTTATTCTCTGTTTTGCTTGTTCAATAAAGCGCTTGAGGACCTCCCGGTCAGGGGGTGTTCTGCTGCTATCGGTTGGCTGCACTTTGTCTGCAGTCGGGTTGCACTGCAGACCATTGGTTTTTGGCTATAGCTTGTCTGGCCTCCTCTGCCTTTCGGATAAAATTTTTTTGTCCTGCTCAACTTGGGGCCTTGTCTTGTGTCCGCGAACTGCTAGGTATTCTCTAGCTGTTTGTGGTTGCCTTTGCTTCGGAAAAGCATCAAAATTTGGCGTATGGGCCTATTTGTCTAGGTCACGACAATAATTTCCTTATTTAATTTAGCGAATTAGTCACCCATACTAAAAGCTATTGAGCTTCAAAAATGGATAAGCCATTTACAGGATTTCCAAATCAATTCTACTAACTTACCTTGCCGTGTCCAAAAATATTGTAGCGTACTAATCCCGTACTGTAAATATAACAGTATTATACTTTCAAAACATTTTTAAAATTTATAACCACCATTAACTGAAATTGTTTTTTTTTAGATATTAAAATTCGATCCTTTAATTTATTTTAAGGTAATATCAATTTAGATATGCATAATAAATATTTAGCTATAAAGTTTTGAATATTTCATGCGTAAGTTATTAAAGTTTATAGTTTACACATTCATTTTAAAAACTTTTGTATTTTTATACATAATAGAGATTTTATTATTAAATCCCTCAAATAGAATTTTTCCACCAAAAAAATAATTCTTTGAAGAAAGAATTATGCTATTAAACCGTTTCATATTCAACTATATCATAAAAAATAAGCGCAGCTTAAAAAAATGCAGTAATGTTATGTTTAAAGCCAAAATTTCCATGCCTTTTTAATTGTTAGATTATTTTTAGATCATTATAATAAAATATATTTTCCTTACAACTCTCTAAAACGAAAGTTCCCAAGTCCATTTTGAACTAACAATTGTTCCATTTAGTGCCTAATGGTGGATTTTAGCCTGTGGCGCAGAGATAGCTGAAGTTTTTTGAAACATTTAACAGTTGCAGTTTCAACGAATTGTTACGACTCCTGTGAATGTCTAGAAAGAGATTTAAGCTCGTTTTTAGGGAAAAACTTTTTTTTCCCGTTCTTCTTAATGTTGCGTCAAAAATGTTCGAGGAAAAATATTTTTTTAAGAAACTATAACTTGAATGAAAAAAATACGCAAACAAAAGAGGCAAATAAAGTCATAGTTTATTTTAAAAACAAATTAAATATACTTTCTATTTTAACTTATGTAAAGGTTAATGTTTTGTGCGAATTCAGGAAAATATTATGCGATTTCATCTTTCTTACAACTTTAATGTTTATTGCATTAAATCACTTAAGATTGTTGATTATTACTTGTAGTGCTTTCGAAATTATTTGAAATGTTTAAATTAAAAGTAAAAGTTATTTAATATTCTATCTATGAAACAAACAATTTTTATAATTCCTTAGAAACAGGAGATTTTTAAGACTAGAGATTTAGTTTAACTGCTTATGGAAAAAAAACAAGTAAAAATATAAAGATATTAAATAATTTGCAATAAGTTAATATTTGTATTTTATTACTAACGGTAATCACACAGGGGAAGAATTTTTTTTTTCTGGTACGTAAGATTTTTCAATGGATTTTGAATATCGGTTTCTCACTCCATACTGCAGTTTTTTTAAGTGACATTTTTAGTATATTTTTTTCGAAAGGAACGAGTATATATATAACATCGATATATATAACAGGGAGTCGCATAAATGTTGCTGCAAATTTCTGGGGAAGTTAGGGCTTAAATTGTATAGAACCCTACCCTAAAATGCCATCATACGCCGCTGGGAGCACCTCCCTATTTTGAGCTGTTTCTTCGTGCGCAACAGGTCGTAATAGGGAAGTGACCCTACCAGTGAACAACGACATTTACAGGCTCTGATTATTGTGCAATTTTAATACTGATGATGTGCTCTAACTTTTCTAGAATTATTGTCGCAACCCTTCGACCCCTTGTAATATACGAGTATAGCGTTTTTATATTTGTTCATTTCTACAAAAATATAGACTAAAAATTTCATTTAGAAAAGAAACTGTAGCTTAGAGAAAGAAACCAATTACAGATTTTAAATCCTTACACCAGATCTTACACCTTACAATAGTCAAGAGCAAGTATTTCCATAAATGCAACAAACAATTTGTTTATCAGTGTCATCCGTGCAAATAAAATTAAAGCATTCATATTTACATCGTAAATGACTTTTCTAAATATTACAGACAGTAGTTTTAATCGCATTAATTCAATTTATTTATAATTTTTCTGCTCACAGATTATAGCAAACTAAAGAAGAACTTAAACGCAAAATTATTCTATTTTAATTTGAATTGAAAAGTATATAAAAAATACAGGACATAGCTGACAACATGTATGAAATTTTCGTAAGGTTTTGTATTTACGTTTAAGGTTTTGTATTCACGTTTATGCGCAGTTCAGTTCTTGGATTTAGAAATTTTATTTAAAATGATTTGAATTACCATTATATATATAAATAAATTACCCCTAGAATTAAGAATAAACTGTATCATAAATAATTTCACATATTACCATTATATATCTAAATAAATTACCCCTAGAATTAAGAATAAACTGTATCATAAACAATTTCACATATGCATTCATAAAAATTTTGCATCAGCAAAATAAAATTATGAGAATTTTATTTTAAAAAAATGCAAGCCTCACAGCTTTTTTACTAAATATGCGTATTTTACCTTTATAGAGAACATATACAAGTATAAATTAATTGCATTCTAAAGTTAATTTTCCTCAGCTGACGACAAGATGGCTGGTGGCGAGGAAGTTTAACGAAGGAGTTCACTTTTTATAGGCGAAGAAAGTAAAAACACGTAAAATATGAACGCAATTCTTTTGGCGAGAATTCCAAACTAACATATTATTCAAATTCTTTTGGTAAGAATTCCAAACTAACATATTATTCAAATTCTTTTGGCAATAATTCCAAACTAACATATAATTCAAATTCTTTTGGCGAGAATTCCAAACTAACATATTATTCAAATTCTTTTGGCAAGAATTCCAAACTAACATATAATTCAAATTCTTTTGGCGAGAATTCCGAATTAACATATTATTCAAATTCTTTGGTTCACTTTGATGTGAAGCACTTTAAATAAGTTAGGATTTTTAAGTCATTTATTTTCTACAATGCGCTTAAGTTGTCCATATCCACTTTTTTAATGATTCGATTTATTTTCGTCTTTCGTTGCCATCTTCAACTGAATCGCTGGAATTTACTTTAACGATTAACTTTTATTCCATTAAAAAGCCCTCCACAAAGAGTAGTTTTTTCCAATGCTTTATCCAGGAGCTCCCTTGCCTTTTGAGTTGGCTCTAAAATTAAAAAGCTACAGAGCTCAGAATTAGGTCGGCTGTTTAACACCGGTTATAAAACAAAAATAAAATAAAGTTCATCACATCATTTCCTCATTTTTATAATTTCATAATTCACGAAACCCTTGAAGTCATGAACTGCCGACGACTCCTTCGAAGCCTTGAGTCACACAGGAAAAACATTGTCCTTCAGTAGATACCCTCCCACTGCAGAATTGTGGGAAACGAGAGTGCAGATCTTTTGGCCAAGAAGGGCGCCTCAATTATTGAAATTCCTCCCCGCGCAATACCCTTTTGTTCCATCAAGAAAATGGTGACAAATTGCATGAAAGACCATTCCCTCATGCACCCATCCAAAAGAGTGTCCGATAAACCATGGAGGGATTTAGTCCCAAAATCCTATATTGGGCCAAGGCGTGGAGCTGCGGCAGAATTCCGCCTGGCCAATAGACAAGACTGTCTTCTTAAACACCTCAGCAGAATTAACATTGCTCCTTCTCTCATCTACACACTTTGTAATCTTGGGGAGGAAATGGATGCACCCATATTATGCACCGTCCTGCTATGCGCAGGTCTTCTCTAGCCGAGCGATACTGGGAAGCCCGAGACCTTTGAATTAATGGACTCAAGTTACTGCATTATGTTTACCATCTTTTATTACATTTCACTTTTCTTATTGTGCTGTAAGTACTGTCCAATAAATTTGCCGTTGGAAATAAAAATGTCATAATTCACCATATCACCTCCTAATGTAACGACATTCATTTCGTAATTCATTAGATCACCCCCTAAATTTCATATAATTTTGCTATTTATTTAAAGTTTGATACATGCTACTCTTAAATGCCAATTTTAGTTTAAAACTATTGTATTTTTTTAAATACCAAGTCTTTTAAAGCCTTTCCAATCTAATGCGCTTGATTATGAATTAATTTATCGTGCATTACTTAACCAACTAGTTAATGTTAAAATAAAATGAACTCTGATTGTATTACATAATTCTTGAATCATTATAGTAACATTTATTGGAGAATACGTTATTTTATTGATTAATACTTTTTGTACTATGCATTTAAAACAATATACTTTTAGCTCTCTCGCTAATCCTTTCTCTTTTTTTATTACAGATCCTTATGTGAAAATTTGGCTAATGCGAGGAGACAAGCGAGTAGAGAAGCAGAAGACGGAAATCCACAAAGCAACCCTACACCCAGTTTTCAATGAAGCCTTTACCTTCATCGTCACGTGGGAGCATATTAGGGACACATCCATGAATGTTACAGTCATGGATTGGGATAATGTGGGCAGAAATGAAGCCATCGGGGGCATCGTACTCGGATCGAAATCCGGACCTACAGAAGCCAAGCACTGGGGGGAGATGCTGACCAAGCCAAGAACCGCTATTGTCCAATGGCACAAACTGAAACCCCTTTGAAGGGAATCAAGTCAGCTGCACCCTCTCTGCTGTCTCTCTCTCTGTCTCTGTTGGTGTGTCAACAATCCCTATAAAAATATATATAATTAAAAAAAAGCGCGGGAAAATAAACATGCAACGACCGAACCCGGTGCTTTTGTATGGCTGTTAAAACATCGAACTGCGTCGAAAATTTTTCCTCGCGCAACGAATGACACAGGATGTTGACTGTTTCAGATAAAATGTTTATGTGTACTTTCTTGACCCCCCCCCCACTTTAGCCCTTGTATGTCGTTCGTCGTCATTTTCATCATCGCCAACGCACAAAGCGGGCCGTTTGCAGCCGAGGAACGATTCGCTTCCGCTTATAAATAACTAAAAGAGGAAGTTGAAAAATATTTGGGGCCAAATGCTTTTTTCACTGTCTTCTTTCCCCCACCCTTTCTGCATTTTTTTCCACGCTGCTGCACCCCCTTGCGCTGCTTTTGCCAACGTGCAGGTAACATAACAGCATGTGACCTTTTTTTGCATTCGGCTCGACATTGTGTTACCAAAAACGAACAACGAACGGGTCGTGGAGGGGGACATGCCTGATGAGAGGGTTCGTTTCCTGCAGTTAAAAGACTGCATTTTTGAGCTAGGCTTTAGGTTTTTGAAGCACTTCCCGATGCAAAGGCTTTGAGTTGATTTGCCTCTTATTCGTGTTAAACATATCTCATTATTTCAATGTCAATTAAAAAATTATATTCCATTTTATTGGTTGCCCAATAATTAGTGAATAAAAAATGGAGAATCACAATCCAAACAAGTAAACGAAGGTTTTTTGGTGATTCCCTCATAATAAAATTCGTGTTATGAAATCATTAGATAACCTTGTCTTCTTGATGAGTTAGGAAATTTGATATATTCAACCAGAAAGTTCAAATTTCCTCTTAGATTGCCACACTCTCTAATAAAGGATCACGAGTTTAACTTGAAAAAAAACCTATAGCAAAACTTATAGGGCATTATTTTGTTACCAAATTTGATCGCGCTGTCTTGCCGAGAAATTTTGCAAAACTTCAGAATGCTAGAACATTGAAAACCTTAAAATAACAGAACACAGACTCGGAACATCAAAATAATTAGAATAACGGAATGTTCATATTTCAGACTCGGAACACCAAAATAAATAGAATAACGGAATATTTATATTTCAGACTCGGAACATCAAAATAATTAGAATAACGGAATGTTTATAGTTCAGACTCGGAACATCAAAATAATTAGAATAACGGAGTGTTTATATTTCAGACTCGGAACATCAAAATAATTAGAATAACGGAATGTTTATATTTCTGACTCAGAACATCTAATAATCAGAATAATGGAACACACATATTTCAGGCTCAGAACAATTAGAATAGCGGAATGTTTAAATTTCAAACTCGAAACATCAAAATAATTAGAATAACGGAAAACCAATTTTCAATGTAAAAGTTCGACATAAAATAACTTTTGCATAGGTTGGCTTCTAGTATCATTGCCAATTCAATCTCTGCTGTATTTGCAATTTATTCACGAGATGGTAACAAAGAGCTCTTTTCAAGGAAGGATAAATCATAGCTCATGAGAAAATTTCTTTTGCCCATGAAATAGAGGACATCCCATCTCGTTGTCTTAGCTTCGCATCAATGTCTTCCATTTCATTGTTTCTCTGCGTGTTTCGATGTGTTGTAGCTTTGCGCGTCCGCTTGTAAATTTCAGTGGCGGAGGTCCCTTTGCGGGCGTTCCTCGGCAGCGCGCTACTCCCTAAAACGACCTCCTCCAAAAGATCTTTTTCAATGCGTTTGAATGTGTGTGCTTTTTGTGCAACTCTATTGTCATCTCATAGAATGGATGTGTAAAAATAACTGACACTTTTTGTACTGATTATAAAATTAGTGATAATTATTACGTCAAAGTCAGAAACTGTAGTTTTGATCGCCTAATACATTGCATATATTATACACTTACAAAAGCCAACATAATTTTTTTTTTATTTTAGTATCGTTTTAGTTAAAGCACCGCAATGGAATTTTTGATACAATTTACAACTTCCGGTAAAACATTCAGCTGTCGAATACACTTTTTTCGAGTACTGAAAATTTATTGAAATTGTAATGAAAATTTAGTATTGAAATTGTAATGAAAATTTATTCGGGTGAAATAGTTTACAATTAAACTCGAAAACTGAAAAAGAAATATTGAAATCAAAATATTATTCGGTATATTAATTAAAAGGAAATTACATTTAATGAATACTCATAAATTGATTGGCGATAAATAAAACAGTATAGCTTTTTGAACCATACCAGTAAAACTTCGTAACTTAGATAGTATCCCAATATTTACTCAAAGGTAAAAATAATCAATATTGGTTGTATTACTAAGTCTGTGATCCAATATACCTTACAGTTTGTTATTTATCTTTTAAGTAGTTTAACCAATCATTTTTAAGTAAAAGTATCGGTATTTGTAACAAACCGCAGTCGAAACTTAGAATTTTCATATCAAGTATTTCTAAATTATTCTAAGCATAGAATCACAGCTAACTAAAATCACGCTCAAATTTTGTATCTCTTACTTTAAAATATCTAAAAATTATAGAGTACAAAATATTTCAACTATTGCAAAATGCATTGTTTATTCAAATAATAATAATTTTTTTTAATAATATCGAGTAAAATATATTTTTACTGCATTACCTCACACAAGTCTGCCTTTCCAAAATTTTTAGCATTTTTAAAATTAAAACAAACTACACGCATGGCTATTAAATGTGCAATAAAGTCGTATAGCTATGCATATGCTTGAATGCTTTTTATCATCAGTCATGTGCAGCAGTGCACATACCCAACTGCCATTTGTGGGTTTTTTTTCTAAGAAAAAACCAAAACAATGCATCCTGTGTTTTTAGTCTACAGTGGAAATTCAAGCATAGACTCATTTTCTGAACAAATGACGTCATCGAAATAGATAACTATGTAATAGCATATTGTAAATAGCTTTCGATGTATTTAGGAGAAAGGAAAAAAAAGATGAAAATAATTGTATTACTTCACCACAACGTAAGGAGGAGGACGTGTGATAGGAAGGTCCGCAGGTAGCTGTACATAGAGGATACTCAATGTATGTGTCCTTTCCTGTAGATAGTAGAACATATGGGACCTAGGCCCGTCATTTGACATGTAGGCCTAGGAACTGGGTCCCATTTACCTAAATCCCTAAGAGTACATAATATGTTTGTATGATGGAATTCAATGAAATATCTATTTATGTATCTGGCTAAAAGTGTAAATAAAATACTAAAAGGAATTTATGTCATGTTTTATTCATGTGTCATGTTCATTTTTTTTAAAAATTAAATTGTCCAAAAAAGCCTCGAGACTAATGAAAAATTATCAGTGTTATCTGGAAAAGTCATCCGCAGCTATAATCATCGTGATTTTATTAATACAAGTAATAATTCTTGTTATAATAATAGTTATAATATTGTGTATAATAGTAACATTATTGTGTATAATAGTAGTAATAATTATTGTGATTCCCTATGGGGAGCTGTGGAGTCTAACATTTTAAATATATTAACAATGTTTTCGAAGCTCTGTCGCCTAAGAAAAAAGAAAAGCCATAGTTTAATTGCCTTAAAGCACTGCAATGATTTTAAATTATATACATAATCTTGCCGTGAAGAATTATCCCGGTTTTGGAACGGACAAATAACTTAAATATTTTAAAAGTTATAAAACTTTTTAAAGTATCGCCAATTTGGCGACATTTTTCTACCTAAATGAAAACTATCAAAATTACAGCCTTACTCTCAGCTTTTGCAAATTTTTATGAGTGGGTTTTTTTAATTTTAAAAAGACTACAAACGTTTTGAAATTTGACAAAATATTGACATTTTGCATCATTTTCAAAATAATCGTCGACAGTGATAAGCTTTATATAGACTAAACTTAACCTAATAGTCATGAGTAACAGTCGCAAACTAACAGCAGTTATAAAAATAGCAGATTATTCGCAAAAAAACGTCATTTCATATAAACGAATCAGACTTCGAAAATGAACCTTAAGACATAAAAAAACATATATATTACTGAAAAATTAAAAACCATTGAAAATAATTTAGAATTATTAGATAAAAACATCTCATTCAATTCCGTTATTGAATACATATCATATGATGCTTATTTTAAAGCTTCTTGGTTCGTTTTTTACAGATTAAACTTTATGATTACGTGATAAAAGGAGCCATACGAAAGTGTAAAAATAATAATAAGCATTTTTGCTAACTTCGGATAACTAAAGAGAGATATTCTCAATATTAATGTGAGAGAAATTTATTGAAATACTTCTCTTCATATTCAAGTTATATACATAATAGTAGTTAACCACTTGACTTATCATGAAACGTTTCTTGATATGGAAATGATCTTTGATTGCACTGTAAACAACAACTCGCAACGGAATGTTGACAGAAATACCAACTGCTCTGGACAAGCCAAAATAATTTTTAAAAAAAACAGCAAATAACTACAAACTAAATTTTGCAAATATTTGATTATTTTTACGTGCTTTTTTAAAGGTATAGCATGGCATAACTACTATAAAGTGGTGAGTTATATAAACCAATGAATGATTTAGAAATAGTGGTGGATACAAATCTACTAAATTGAATTTATTTAACCAAGAATCACAATTGATAAAACCAATTTAAAATATCTATTTGCTGTCCGGAGCAAGTAGGCGTGTGTTGAAGACGTCTGAGACACATCAATTATTGTTTTGACATAAGAAACAAATGACGTCTCCCAGACGTCTTCGTATGTCAAGGAGTTAATATGCATACTGACGACAGGTGGTGATTGCTTGTCAAATTTGATTTTACTCAAATTTTTCATTGTTCCAGACTGCTAGAGTTTTGTTTCATATTAATGTTTTATCCAAATTCATTTTTTAAAAAAAAAAGTTTTAGATGTTAAATGAAAGTTTTCCTATTTCTTTTCTTTAGTTGTCAGTTGCTCTAATTATTTAAATTAATAATTTATCAGTCTCGCGAATGTTATTGTAGGGCAAAATCAGCGCATACTATTTGCCGTTCAACACCCAATCTCAACTTAACATAATAGACAAGTTGTCCTTATTACTAACTAAATCTGCTATATATTTGCGCTTGAAGAGTGTCAAAAGATAAAGTATAAACTAAGCACGGCGAAACTTTATTTTTTGTCAGTATTATAATACAGTGGTCTATGCCGCATGCTGAAATCATTGATGAAACTGCCTAGCATTAATTTCTACGCGTAATTTGTGAGCAGTTACATATGAAGGAAAACATGAAAAAAATGTTTCTTTAGCAGATTCGTACATAGTTTTATACTGCAGTAGAACTTAATAGAAATTGAGTGCCGCCTCCATCATATCAGATCAAAGAATCGGTTTAAAATAAGTTTATTTCGAGAGTAACGTAATTATCAGCTTATTCAACGGAAATACAGTTACGCAATGCCGTCGTGGCATTTTTCGAAGTCCAACGTTCGGCCAAAAAGCACATAGACCTCAACTGTTGGGCTTCAGAACTCTAACCAGTCCCAGTGATATCCTACAATAATTGGACAACTAACATATCTTTGTCCACTTCTTCCAGTTTCAGATCAGAACTTACTTAATTTCGAGAAGGATAAACCTGACAGAAGAGTAATTTCTATTTCTTTTCTTGACATCAGCCACCCGTTCTTATCGCGCGACTTTACTGGAAGATGACTTCTACTAATTGTAAGATGATATGAGACAATTGCAAGATGACATATGAGAGAGCTAGAGCACAGAACACCTGGTCTTTATCCTCAACTTAAATTGCACTCATTTGATTCCAACAACTAACGCAGCTTAAATATAACTGTTAAAAAGTACTGAAGAATAAAATTATGTGCTGATTCTCTCCAGAAGCATAAGGGGATAGCTCTACTCCATACAAAATCACTGCGTGATTAACGTAACAAGTTGAAAGAACAAACTCGGAATTTCGATAAGGAGCGTAAGTCACGCGACACTTTTTGAGGAACGAGGACGCGAAACATCATATGAATCACTCCAGTCTAAACAAAAAATTTCGGCAAAAATCTGGAACTCCTCTCTCTGAAAGTGAAAATTTACCTGGAAAATAATCCCCTTTCCAAAAAATGCACACACAGAAAGTGAAAACTCACCTATAACCGAAAAATGAACGGATAAAACAGGTAGATCAACCAGATGCACACAGCTCTGAAAAAAAGAACATCCGTCCCCAACCCTCAAATGTTGAAAAAAATTAACTCACCCAGCGAAGATCCAAATCATCGCAATCAAAATTTTAGCAAATCGAACCCCAAACAACGTGCACAAAGACGTTCAAAAAAACTCAAAATATAGAAGTTAACTCTAGGAAAACCCCACAAAAAATGCGAAATTCACATTTATCGAACTGTCAATGGTGGTCTTGGAGCTGACCTCTAGTCAGAAAGGCCTCGGCTTCAAATCCCGGATAAGACATGGTTGTTTTTTTGTTCTATTATCTGCACTATTTGCCCTTCTTACTGTGGGAGCAACGTTGGTCCTTCTGATACCCGAATGGTGAATATCAATATCTGAGTGAACATTGGAAAAAAACATTGATCGAACTCAGGGCCATCATCATCATCGAAATTTATGTGGGAGCCTGTGGTCGTTAATGGCCCTTTTCCGATCCATCTTAAAATTTTGGCTCTTCCGGGTAACTAGAATGCAAATAGGAGTGAAAAGAAAATGAGATATTTTGAATTTTAGATAAAGATGCGTCGTTACAAAAATAAGCTACCGTCTAACGCAGGGTCCTCCATATCACCAACTTTATCTAAAGACTAAAATCCAATCAATCTAGACTGAAATCGTATCCGCGAAATAAATGTAATTAAATCCAAGTAGTCACCGATCAAAAAACTGTATAGCTTGCACGTCAGAAATAAATTTTAATGTAGCACCGCTTCTAAGCTTTGGCAAACCAACAGTCAAAGCTAAAAACCTAGTTTTACTTGAGTTAATAACTTTTAAACCTATGCACAAAAAGTCCACATCCTAATTGAAAAGAGTATCTTCCACAAACGCTCTCTCCTTTTGATTCCTAGAAAGTTCTAAAATTCCAGATTTTATGAATCGCGGTAGCGAATGAAGTACGTAAGTAACACTCTTCAAGTGTTTTCTCAATAAAGAAGATAGCAAAGTGTCAATAAAGAAGATAGCAGCTACATTTGATAACGAACAATGGACTAAAAACTTTAAAAACTAGTTTTTGGCAGCAATTTAAAACGCAAAGAGAGCGAACGCTATTAAGCGAAAAATAAAAACTATTGTTAAGAGAAATTGGAAGCTTGCGGATAAGAAATTAAGTCAAATTATAGTTTTTTTTATTTCCTATTTTCTACGTTTTATTTTTAATGCTAATTTATTATTCGCATTCACACAGAAACCTTAGTCACATCAGGCAATTTTGGTTTCAAAAGAATTGTCTGGTAAAAGAATATGTAAATTCTAAGACAAATTAAGCAAACTTTTAAGGGGCTAGTAACAAATAAAAAAGCATATTTTGCTATTGTTCTATTCAAAATAAGTTCTGTTATTAGTTGAATTCGAAGATGCTTTAAGTTAGTGAAAATGAATATTACATGATGTCCGGCATTATAATTGCAAATGTCTTCGCTAAGTTTTTATTACAGTTTATAATTTATACTAATATACAATTATAATTTATTTTAATTTGAATGCATCGATTTTTAAAAATATGCAGTTGAACTTTGCATTCTCCCTCAAGCAAACACATCGTAACTATTCTTTAAACTAGAAAACTGTCTCGAAAATCTTATGACAACCTTGCCAACAGCCTTTTGAGATTTAAGAGCTCGCGTAATCCTAACGTTTCAAAATTGCTTATAAATTATAGATGGATGTTATACATAAACTCAGAAAGGGATTGATACAAGATTTGTTTGAAAAAGAAGAAAAAAATGAAATTCATATCCTTTTCTCGCCAAGTAGCTTTTATATATGTATCGAGGGATAATGAATACAAAAGGCAGACTGTAATCTTCGTCGCCAATGTCAGAAAAGACAGCGACCCAATGGGGCCGAATTTCCAACTCACATTCATCAATTTAAATTGCGGACAAGTCTAGCTTTGAAAGTTGCTTTTCAGGATATCAGACACTATTTTGTGTTCTGTCAAACTAAAAGATATTCGAGAAAGGGAAATAATGAAAAGTTTTCAAGACTTCAAAATGCCTCACGTCTGGAAATGGTGT